TGTGCGCGCGGGCTGTTAACGCTCAACGCCCCCGACAGTATCACTCAATCTGCTGTGTGAGAGTTGCCGCATATCATGCTGGCGCGTGGGCCCCAAGTGGGCAAATGGGGACGGAAAGGTCGATTCGATTCTTCAGGCTTGCGCCACATCCGCCGACCAAATACTCTTCGGGATCGTTTCTGGTGTGCTGTTGTCCCTCAGGGAGCAAGGACATCTTGGCAGCTGTCTGCGACTGTGTTTGTTCTCTGCTGTTTGGTGTCGCGTTGTGTTCGATCAGCCGGTGCGCCCGCCATACGGATGCAATTGGCCAGGGGGGGAGGGAGAGGAGAGGGGGAGGGGGATCAGGAGGGGGAGGAGGAGGATGAGGAGGAGGAGGAGGAGGAGGAGGGGGCTGCTTCGAAAGGTTGATTTAGGATGGGCTCGTATTGGCGACGCCCCACAGGTGGCACCGTCGCGTCCGGCCAAGAGGCAGTTGTGCTTAAGTAGGTCCTGTCCCTCTACAGGAGGAATTCTCAAAAATAATGAAAACCTAGTATGGGGACGGTTTGTTTTACTATTTTGAAGCATTTCTTTCATATTTTACCCCACATTCAAAGTGGGGTTCTTGTTTTCTCTGGACACCCCACGCAGGAACAGGAACATCCTTTCCTTTTTCACACACACACACTCACATCATCATCATCATCATCATCATCATCATCATCATCAGCAGCAGCAGCAGCAGCAGCAGCAGCAGCAGCATCATCGGCATCATCATCATAATCAGATTCATACTCATGAACATCATCATCGTCATCATCATCACCGCATCACCATCAAATATACACTTGTACACACTTTGATTATCCAAATTAATCAGTCACCCACTCACAACTCACCGCCCATCATCATCATCACCATCATCATCATCATCATTATCAACTCCATCATCATCCTCAACATCAGCATCAGCATCAGCATCAGCATCATCATCAACATCATCATCATCATCATCATCATCATCATCATCATCATCATCATCATTCTCACAACACCATCGTCATCAGAGCCTCGTCTGTGAGTGAAGTGCGAGGAAGTCTCAGGCGGGAGCCCCCTTCCTACGGGGCCCGCCGCCCCTTTTTTCAATCCGAGCGGGCCATCGGAATCCTGTAGCTGTCGTCACCTTTGGGCCCCTGAGGCTTGAATATGGAGGCAGTATCAGGCGGGAGCCTCGTCTGTGAGTGAATTGCGAGGAAGTCTCTTGCGGGAGCCCCCTCCCTGTGGGCCCGCCGCTCATGTTTTCAATCCGAGCGGGTCATCGGAATCCTGTAACTGTCGTCACTTTTGGGCTCCTCAGGCCTGGATCTTGAGGAAGTCTCAGGCGGGAGCCTCGTCTGTGAGTGACTTGCGAGGCAGTCTCAGGCGGGAGCCTCCTCCCTATGGGGCCCGCGCCTCATGCTTTTAATCCGCGCGGGTCATCGGAATCCTGTAATTGTCGTCACTTTTGGGTTCCCGCTGCTTGAGTTCGGAGGAAATATGAATCGGGAACCTCGTCTGTGAGTGAATTGCGAGGAAGTGTCTCGCGGGAGCCCCCTGCCGATGGATCCCGTACTTCGTTGTTTTATCCAATGGTAACGGGAATCATCTACCATGCGTAGCACTTGAGCGCTTCAAGGTGGCAAATCGTGAGGATGTCTCGAGCGGGGGCCGCGTGTGTGAGCGAATTGCGAGGAGCGGGAGCCCCTTCCTTATGGGGCCCGTTGTTTTTACTCCGAGCGGATCACCAGAATCATCTACCAGGCATCGCACTTGAGCACCCCAAGGGGGCAAATCGTGAGGATGTCTCGAGCGGTGGCTCGTGAGTGAATTGCGAGGAAGTCTCAGGCGGGAGCCCCCTCCCTATGGGGCCCGCGCTTCACGTTGGCAATCCGAGCGGGCCATCGGAAACATCTACCAGGCATATTCTTGAGCACCCCTAGGGGGCAAATCGAGCAAATCGCGAGGATGTCTCGAGCGGGAGCCCTCGGAAAGTTCCCGAAGGTCAGAGAACCCTCAGGATGCTTCAGGAAGCCACAGAAAGTTTCAGGAGGCCCAGGGAGGCACCAGGAGGCCCCATCGGCCGCAGGAGGCCTCAGAGCCACCAGGAAGCCCTAGGAGGCTGCAAGAGTTTTCCAGGAGGTCCCGGGAGGTCCCAGGAGTACCCTGGGCCCCAGGAGGTTCCAGGTTGCAGCAGGAGGCCTCAAGAGCAGGCAGGAGGCCCAAGGAGGAGGCCGGGGCAGGAGGACAAGGAGGCAAGGCTCGAGAAGCTCCCCGAGGCTCCACGTGGCAACGGGAGGCCCCAGGAGGCTCAAGGAGCAGGCAGGAGGCTCAAGGGAGATGCAGGAGGAGGCCAGAGGAAGAGGCAGGACGAGTACAAGGAGGAGGAGGAGGAGGAGGAGGAGGAGCCAGGAGGAGGAGCAGGAGGAGGAGGAAGAGGAGGCAGGAGGGGGAAGGGGAAGAGGCGGGACGAAAAGGAGGATGAGGACGACGACGAGGAGGAGGAGGAGGAGGAGGAGGAGGAGGAGGAGGAGGAGGAGAGAGGATGAGGAAGTGGAGAAGCAGGAGGCAGGAGTAGGAACACGAGGAAGAGGAGGAGGAGGACGAGGACGACGACGACGAGGACGAGGAGAAGAAGGAGGACATATAGCAAATGGAGGAGGAGGAGCAACAGCAGCAGCAGGCAGGAGGAGGCAAGAGGCATGCGGCAGGAGGCAGGAGGAGGAGGAGGCAGAAAGAGGTGGAGGCAACATGATGAGGCAAGAGGAGAAGGAGGAGGCAGGAGGGTGTGGGAGGAGGGGGCAAGAGGATATTCTCAGGCAAATCAAAGAGATTCTCATCTGGGGTCTTTCCGTCGGAGTAAGTTGATTTGTCGATCAAAATCCGCCTGTAGTGGGCCATGCCCGACCTAAAGATATGCGCGAGGCCCACTGGGCGATACTCGGAAAGGCCAGCCCACAGGGCAACTGAGGACGGGCCCCGTAAGCAGGGGGCCACGTGCGAGCCCCACCCGTACCCCCCACGATTTTTCTGAGGGGGAGTGCGGGGGCTCACTTCGCTCGGGAGCTCCTGGACGACGTGAACCCCATCCTGCCCCTCAGAAATCGTGGGGGGCAGGGGTACACACCAGTCGCTGAAAGTAGGTGTTTTTGGACTCCCGGATCCCAATCTGCTTCAGGTGCCTTCCTGCTTCAGGAATCGGCACGCTTGTGCTGGGTTTTTTGTTATTCCCTGGGGGGGCCTGGACCCAATCCACTTAATCCGCCTTCCTCCTTCATGCTTTTACCGACTTCTTCCGACCGACGCGTATGGTTCGCGTGTGGCCCCGTACGTACAGGGGCCCGTTCGCCTTCGATCTCTCTTCGGCCCGAGAGTCCGAGCTCGCCGGGGCTCGGTCCGCTTCGATCTCCTTCGATCGTCTGGTGCTTCTGCACGAACGAAATGGGCACGGGAAGAATGGGTACACTGCCCAACAGCGGACCTGGTTCATTCTGAACAAGACTCGTCGTCCACGCCGCCGCGGCCTGTGTCCATTCGAGACAGAAGGCCGCCTGCCCAGCAGCGGCCGCTGCTGGTTTGGGACAGCATTTGTTGTTGGGCATTGTACCCATTCGTTCCGTGCCCATTTCGGGCGTCCAAAGTGATGCTCGGGAGTGGACAGAGCCCCCAACGGTGACACGTCGATGAGTGAATTGTCCGTTCTCGGTTCTCGAGAGGGCGCCGTGGCCGTCATTTTCCAGGCTTGCGCCCGCCAGGTTGGGACCTCAGGTCGTCTTCACTAAACCACGTTTTACAGTCGGGGCCCTGAAGAAGGAACCCTTTTGGTTGGGGTGTGGCTCCGCGTTCCTTGAGTGTTTCACAGCTTGCCTCAGGTTTTCCTCATGTTTTCGATCGAGAATCGAAGCTTAACTTATGGAAGAAAGGGGCCTCGTTCCTTATTTGGGGCTCCTCAGGTCAACGCCCCGACTGTACTGAATGGGGGGTCTGCCCATCCCCCGAGGTGCGATGCTGCCCGAGGTCTGCACGGGCCGCCGAGCCTCCCGGCGCGGCCGGTCCGATTCGGCTTCGGCGTCGTGCCGGGGCGCCCCGGTTCGACTCGGCGCGGCGTCCCGAGGTCGGAGCGGGCTGCTCGTGGCCCACGAGCGGGTCGGGGGCGGAGAAGAGGGGGGTGACGACTAGGGGGGGGTGGATATCATGGCGTGGGCCACGATATTTCCCCAGATTTCCTGGCGCCTCTTCTTATTCCATTGCGTCCCTGGCCCCCCGCTGGGCCGCGCACATGCCGCCGGTCATGATTTGCACCCCCCCCTCTTGGACACCCCCCTCTTGGCCGCTCCCGAGCGGGGCACAGAAGGTCTGCCCCCAGGGCAACGGGGGTCAAGTCGGGCCTGTCGCTCTACAGGAGGAATATCAAAATCACAGTAAGCAGACATAGTATGTCGACAAAGTTTGTTAATGTTTGACTATCTGGGTGTGATTTGTCTGCGAGTATGTTTCTTGTCTTTCGTCCAAGATCCCCCCTGCAGGGGGACAGGCCCGACCTAAAACTAGGGCGGCGGGACGCAGCAAGAGAAGACAGCCCATTGAATTTTCTTCCACAGCAAGCGCGGGCCCAAACTCGCTTTGGGGAAGCACATGTTCCACCATGGCTTGCTTCACACGTGTCATGCATTCGATCGTTGGGCTTGCCCGAGGAGTATGTAAGTCACATATATCCCACGTCTGCAGCTCGACTTCCTTTATCGTTTCAACCCTGTGCTGCCACATGACAGGTCGAATATTCATCAGATGTAGATCTGCCGCTTCGTCATGGCTGTGTTTTTTTCCGTGTGGACGCGCACTCCGTCGGAAAAGGATTCCGAGATGTGCAGTTCGATGCGAATCGCGCCCCGTCGATTTGTTGGCAGCGTTGCACCATTGTTGTCGTCCCCCTCCGTATTGGACAACTAATACACCGGCGCTGACCATAAGTATTGCCGCTGGACATGTTGCCGCTGTACATGCTGACCAGAAGTATTAATGTTCCTAGTTTTCCAAAGCAGATTCGGCACCGTGGCCGACCCAGTCGAGCTACCGGTTCTTCAAATCGTGTTGCGCGGTATCATTTCAGAGACATCGTCGTGATGCTTCTTCGCCCTATCCACGCTTGCCTAGGGGGCCGTTGCCGTCTCAGCAGTTTGGTGTTTGCTGCCCTGGGGCGGTGTCTATGGAAGAGGCTTGGATACTCGTTGCGGAGGTCCTGCAAAGCACACGCCTGGGGAAGTGTGCAAACGCCGCAGCGACCGTCGTCATGTAATGTCACAGAAGAGACGATGATGTTGTATGTTTGGTAACTTCGCTGCCGCGTTGCTCTTGGTAACTTCGCTGCCGCGTTGGTCTTTTGGTAACTTCGCTGCCGCGTAATGTCCGGTGTGCATTGGTAACTTCGCTGCCGCGTTGCTCTTTTGAGGCGTCCCGCCCGTCCTGGGCATTCGACGGGGCTTCTCTTCTGCTCTCTTCCTCTTTTCCGTGAGCCTCTTGTGGGCGTCCCGTGCGTTCAAGGCTAGATGGCGGCGCGCCGAGGGGGGTAGGGGGAGGTGGAGGGCTTCTCAGAAGCACCCCTGCTTCTTAGAAGGCGCGGGCCTTGTATGTAAACGTAAGGCTCGCTGCTTCTAAGAAGCAGCCTTCTTCTAAGAAGCCTTTCCCCCTCCCCCTACCCCCTTGTGCGCGCCGCCAAGCTAGCGTGCGGCGCCCATGGCGTGGCAAAGCGTTGCTGCCGGGACGCGCACTCTGAGACTGCCCGTTCGCGTCGCGTCGCCAGCGATGTTGCCAAGAAGCGCCGTTCGAAGGGTGCCTTCGCGATGCCGGTGGTTACCAGCCTCGAACTTATCCCTATCCATGAGATTGACTCGCCAAAAGGCGACGACAATCTTAGGGATTCGCCCTCAAAAGTAAGGGAATCCCTAAGATTGGCATCGTGATGAGGAGGTGCCCAGCATAGGGATGGGGATATGCTCCAGGCTGGTAAGGTGGTGCTGCCCGGAGGCAGGCGACGAAGCCCACTCCGAGCGCCGCATGCCGCGTCGCCATTTCTGGTGCCAAGAGGCTTGCCAGGAGGCTGGGAAGCGCACCCCGAGCGTGCCCACTCGCGTCGGGACACCTGGCAGCCATCGCTCTGCCAGTGTGGTCGCCAGGAGGCGCGCCAGGAAGCTCGGCGCCGGTGCCGAGAGGCGTGCCAGCTGTCACTCCAGGCTTGCCCGCTCGCTCCCGGCAGCCACGTCGCTGCCACAGCTGCTGCCATGGAGGCCTCCCAGATCGGGTCCGAGTACGGTAGGTTAGTGTCGTGTCGACCGGCGGCGACCCCGCCAGCGGCGTTCAACCTTGAACGCCGCGGGCGACCCAGAATCGTTCGATGTGGAACGATTTGGACGTTTCGGAAACGGCCGATCGTTCAAGGTTGAACGATCCCCGCGGTGTCAGAAACCAACGCCGGGGTCGACACGACGCGAACCTGCCGTAGATGGGGTCGCAGGACCGCGGCAACCTCGCCGATGCACCGACGATGCATCGACGACGCCGGTGACGTAGGCCGACATCGGGGCTTGGACTAAGTCGGGCCTTCCCCTCTACAGGAGGAATATTCAAAAACAGTCAACAACAATAGTCGGGGGACGATGTTTCTAGTATTTGTTTTTCAATAGTTGTTTCAGCATGTGTGAGACTATTTGTAATTTTTCACTCAAAATCCCCCTGTAGGGCGACGTGCCCGACCCAAGGCTTGGAACATCGGGCTCCCAGTCGAGCCGCACCGCCGAGGCACCAGCAGGGCGGCTTGCTGCGCCGACCTCCATCCCTGGGCGCGAGGCCTGCCACGCGGGAGCGAGGGGGGGTCCATCGCACGGGCCGGCCGACGGGCGGGGGACGGAGGGAGGAGGACGCAGGAGGAGGAGGAGGCAGGAGGAGGAGGGAGGAGGAGAAGGGGGTGGGAGGAGGAGGTGGGAGGAGGAGGGGAGGAGGGAGGAGGAGGAGGAGGAGGAGGAGGAGGAGGAGGAGGAGAGGAGGAGGAGGAGGAGGAGGAGGAGGAGGAGGAGGAGGAGGAGGAGGAGAGGAGGAGGAGGAGGAGGAGGAGGAGGAGGGAGGAGGAGGAGGAGGAGGAGGAGGAGGGAGGAGGAGGAGGATGTCGTGGCAGTGATACGCTCCCAGGTTTCCCCGATCTCCAGAGAGTGCGTCCAAAGATATGTCCGCGGGCTGTGGAAGCGAGGGCTGCTACAGATGCTCCAGAACTCCTGAGCGCAACCTCGGCCAATCATGCCATGATGCCATTCTCGCTTTCTGGAGTGCAGTCAGCCCGCACGGTAAGGATGGGCAACCTTCCCAAGGGAGGGAGGAGGAGGAGGGAGGAAGGAGGAGGAGGAGGAGGAGGAGGAGGGAGGAAGGGGAGCAGGAGGAGGAGGAGGGAGGAAGGGGAGCAGGAGGAGGAGGAGGAGGGAGGAGGAGGAGGAGGAGGAGGACCTTCCCAAGGGTATCCTCGTGGCCCATCCTTCGCCTCCTTCGCTGACCAACCTCGTTCGAAAGACATTCGCATGGGCCTCCAAGGCCCCTGCACCCTTACCGCGCATCCTCATGATACTGGTTGTCTGTACAGAGGTAGATATACACGCCAGTCGTTGAAAGTAGGTCTTTTTGGATTCCCAGATCCCAATCTACTTCAAGCGCCTTCCTGCTTCAATATTCGACACGCTTTTGCTGTGTTTTGTTTTTCTCTGGGGGGGCCTGGGCCCAATCAACTTAATCCGCCTTCCTACTTCATGTTTTTACCTACTTCTTCCGACCGACGTGCACCGCGCATCCTTATGATACAGGTTTCCTGTAAAGAAGTACATATACTTGCATGCACATAGGCGCTGGCCCCGCCCCCCTCCCTGGCGCGCGGAGCGCGCCAGGGGCGGCGCCGGAGACGCCGCCAGGGAGCTTCAGCCCCGATCCGAGGAGTCCTCGCGGAGCTCCGAAAGCGTACACTTGCGCCATTGTTCAAGACAGGGTTGGACCTAAACGGTGGTTTTTGGTGATTTCGTTGGTCGTTGTCGTTTCGGTTTCGTTTTGCAGCACAGGCGGATTGGAGGCAAAAGAGAGGGAAACCGAAAACAAAACGAGAACGAAAAACACCGTTTAGGTTCAGCCCCGGGGGTGAGGGTACCAGCCTCGAACTTATCCCTACCGAGACCCCCGCTTCGGGCCGACCCGGCCATTCTGCATACCGCGCGCGGCCGCCAGATCCCCAGGTCCACCGAGCATCCCCTGAGACGACCTCCTCGCGCCGACGACGAGAGTCACAGAGCATGGCAGAACTGAGCATAGCAGAACCGGATACATTAAATAAGATTATCAGTATCACATGACAGAACGAATCACAACCACGCAGCATCACACAGATTTGATTATTGCAGCTGAACTTCCACGTAGCAGAGCATGCTACGACAGAGCGGATCACACAGACCAGAGTAGAACGTCACATCATAGCATAAGAGGGCATGACAACGCATGCAATGACCGAGCGACGCATACACACCGTATCATGGCACAGCGCATCGCAGCATAACATGGCATCACGCATCGCAAATTACCATGCATTACCATACCATAACATACTATACATGCCATGCCATGCGGCATCATATGCAATTGCACAGCAGAACACAGCACATCATAGCAGCATCGCATCAACACACATGTCATACTATGTCGGACCCTAGCATTGCACACCAGGTCATGACGACGCATGCAATGACATGGCCGATCATACTTGACTTAGCATAGCACGACCCATCCCAACAGCACAGCTGATCATACCATAACGTAGCAATACATACCATTACATCGCATAAACCCAAATCGCACAATTAAACATACCATAACATGTCATATCATACCATATCAGACACATGCCACGCCGTCACATAACACACCACTCCATACATGACAAACCTTAACATGACAGCGCGCGGCTTCCCACTGTATGAATAACCGTCTCGTAGCAAAGCATCACATACTATATCACGACGGAACAGATAATGACATATCACATCGTCGCCTATAATGGAACGTGCCAACGCAACGTTTGCAACGTTTGTTTATCACCACCGTCGAACATATATTATTGCAGAGGTTTATTGTCGCATAGCAAGCCATAGCATACCAAATTGAACATAGCACGATGTAGCGTAAGCAACATCACACATATTGCATATTATAACATGAGCTGACATATCATGCCATGCCATAGCAATGTTTCACAGGGCAGAGCATGCCATAACATATCGCATATTGTAGTGGCCTTCGGCCAGTGCCGCCGATCCGGGTCGCTCGGATACACATATTACGCGGACACCTCACGCACGCACACGACCAAATGCACATACGGCAGACACACATACAGAGACACACTAGGCGCACGCCAGACACTAGCACGCACAGACATTCGCAGACACGCACCACGCACAGACACTCGCACAGGAGCCTGTCAGGGCGTCGTGGGGGCTTCTTGGGGGCTTTGGGGGGCCCTCTTGGGGGCTCTTGGGGCCTCCTGGGGGCCTCGTGGTCTGGAAGGCTAGAGTTTTTCTGCTTTTCGTCCCTCTTTTGGGTCCTCTTGGGGCCGTCTTGGGGGCCTGGGCCGTCTTGGGCGGCTCTTGAGCCGCCTTGGGGCCCTCTTGGGCCGTCTTGGGACGGTCTGGGGGCCTCCTGGGCCGTCTTCGAGCGATCTTGGGGGCCTTTTGGGCCGTCTTGGAGCGTCGGAAAGCGAAAAAAGCGACAACCACCAAAACACTAAACAAAAACCAATGGAAATCAACGATTTTTGCTTGTGGGGGCCCTCGTGGGAGGCTTCTTGGAGGCCTCTTCAGACGTCTTGGAAGGCTCTTGGGCCGTCTTGGGGCCATCTTGGGCGTGTTTGGGCGATCTTTCGGGGTCTCGGGACTTTCTTAGACCGTCCTCAGAGACTTTTGCGGCCGCGGCCACCCTTTCAGCGCATCCTCGAAATTAGAGCCTTCTGTAAAAGCAGCCCCCCGCGACCGCCGGAAAACTCGTATCCCTCCCCCCCCCCCCTTCCCGGGCAGAGCCACCCCGGCAACCCCCCCAGAGGCTGAGGCTCAGCCTCGAGGCTGTAGCTGAGACTCCTTGAAACTCACACGCCGGATCGGCGGACTTTTGTGACAGACGTGAGCGTAACAGCAAATGCATTTAGCGGATGAAAAACGTATGTGAATAGTGGCATCAGAGCATACAATTCTATTGCAATATGATCAAAGGTGATTTGCGCGCCGAGGTCAGGCTGGCCGCAGGAGCAAACAGGCGCAGCAACGAACGATTCGACGACGTATCTATCGCGATAGGCGTCACAGCGTCAGGCCGTCCCGTCGACAACATATCATATTATATCGTATTGTAGCATGGCACGTTAGAACCTGATCGAGCAAACCATACGAGGAGAAGTTAAAGGTGAGCAGCAAGTTTTGGTGTCTCGCACGACGCGGTTTGGGGGGCTGGTTTGTCGCTCCAGGCACTTGTTTCGGTTTCTTTCGTTTGGTACCCTGGGGCTGTTCGACGTTCGGCAAACAACACCTGGCGACCTGGCCCAGCCGCCGCGCTGGTCGAGACCGCCGGGCCCGCGCACATCGTTCCAGTATGCGCGCGCACCGTTGGGAACAAACGCCGAAGGTGCTGGTGGGGATCGCTCGAAACAAAATAGGGAGCCTTGAGACGGGGGTCAATGCAAACGGGGGTCAGCCAGAGCGCCCGATCTTGCAGGATCCTGCGGGGCCCGGGTCGCGTTGACCCGGGTTTGGGTGCAGGCTTTTGCAGGGTCCTTCGCGTTGACCCGGGCTTGGGCGCAGGATATTGCAGGATATTGCAGGGTTCTGAAAGGTCTGACTGACCAGGGTCTGGGTTGACCTGGGCCAGAAGATCTCGGGGGCCCCCAAGCGGTGTGGTGACCACACCGTGCGGTGAGTCGGTGGGGAGTCGGGGTCACCACACGGTTTTGGGACTCGGGTCGTTCTCTGAGGATGTCTTGGCGAAGTGTTCTCAGAACACTTCTGGCTGGGACTGTCTTGTTTTAACACATCGGGCTCATGTTGCAAGAACGTTGTTTTTGGTTTTAGCACACGTTGGGGTTTTAAGAACATGTCGTGGTAGGCCTATAGGAATGCCAGGACGGTCGGTCCCTGTTCAATTATTCGACGCGGATTCGGCGCGTTCGGCGTGGGTTCGACACGGTTTCGACGCGGATAGCCGCGCGATGGGACAGACGAGGCCCCCCCAAAGATGCAGCACAACAGGTGCCTTTGCGAAAGCAGGCCCGCGCGTTCTGTTGTGTGATTCTGCTCGATGCTTCCAGGTGCACCTGCCGCCTTCCCTCCAAGCTTCTCTCCTCCCTCCACCTCCCTCCTTCCCCTCCCCCCCTCTCTCCCCTCTCTCTCCCTCTCCCTCCCTCCCGCCCTCCCGTGGGGGCGACCAGGAGGAGATACGGGTATCCCCCCTTTGAAAAAGCTCCTTAGGCTCTTTGGAGCTTCACTGGGCCTGGTGTAGCCTACCGGGGCCTCCTGGGGCCTTCCTGAGGCCTCTTGGGACCTCCTGGGGCCTTCTCCAGCCTCCTTGGACCTTTGGTGCCTCTTGGGACTTCCCAGGATCTCATGGAACCTACTGGTGTATTCTGGGGTCCTCTGGGGTGTCCTGGAGCCTCCTGGGACATCCTGGAACCGTACTAGGCCCTTTGATTTTCCCTGGGACTCGTGGTGGTGGTCTTTCGTTCTACACACAAATTGCGACGTGCACGATCATACCAATATATATATAATTATATATATATATAATATATATAAATAATATTACATATACATACATACATACATACATACATACATACATACATGCATGCATGCATGCATGCATGCATACATACATATTTACATACATACATACATACATACATACATACATACATGTGTATAAGTAAATGGGCCATTTGGGCACACTTCGGTGGCCTGATGGCGATCTTGAGACCATCTTGGGAGGGATCGCCCAGAAAAAGGTTGTAGGATGGACGTGCTCAACGCGGTGGTGATGATGCGCGCGCACTTGCGGTGAGTTGTCAGAGGAGCCGTCGCGCCATGGGTTTCCGCTCGGTGTCGACGAAGCCGCCACGGGCGTCGACGCGAGCGGCGCGAGGTGCGCAAGGTGCGGCGGCGGCGCCTTGACAGGCGGCGCTTTCGCGGGCGGCGCCTTCGCGCGGGGCCCCGCGCAGCTCGCCGCCAGCGGGGCGGCGGCGTCCAGCCCGTCGGCCCGTCAGCACCATCAGCATTCGAGGGCGCGCTGGGAGCATCGCCGCCGCGACTGCCATGGCGCGAGGGGCTTCAGCGGGCCTGCGCGCGAGCCGGCGAGGTCCCGCGCGCGAGCCGGGCCGAGACTTGAGCCGGAGCGTTGCAGCAGGCCTGCAAGGAGCCCCCAGAGGCCTCCGAGAAGTCCCGGAGAGCCCCCCAAGAGCTCCGATGCCCCCCAAGAAGCCCCCCCCAGATGCACCCCAAAGCTCCAGGAGGCCCCCAAGAATCGCCCCAGATCGGGCTATCGGGTAGCAGCAGAATGGCGAAGGTTTTTTGAACAAGTGAACTAGGACCTTCGCGTTCAGAGGAGTGTCACTTATTCCTGCGCCCGCTAACGCCCAGAATGCGCCCGACATTGACAGCGACCAACATCGTGAGCGCAACATGCGCGAGTTCAGGCAGCAACACGAGCGGAAAGACGAGTCCTCGGCGAAGAACCAATCGCGAAGCAGGTGCTGCAACACCGAGCTGCGGGAGTTTTTCTCGGCGTCGTGGCGTCGTCACCCGGCCTCTTCGGCGAGGCCGAGCACGTGGGGGGTGCTGTGGGCGCTGGCGAGACGAGCGAGGCGGCCTCTGCTAGCGACGCGGACTTCGTGGCCGCGCTGAAACGGGCGTTTCCAGACCGGACAGCGGCATGTGTCGCGGCACGAAAAAGCATCACCTAATACATCCCTCGCCATTCTCCCGTTGCGAACCACGTATCCAGCGGCCTTCGGCCTGCCCCGCCGCCGCTCCGAGGTCGCGGGCCTGCCGCCCGCTGGGAATTTCGGAACTTGGAATTCCGGGGATATGTCGGAAGCTTTCTCGGGCGCGCATCAGGGGGTTCTCAGGGCATTCCGGGGCTTCCCCGGGCGGTTCTTGGAGCTTTCCGCACGCTGGGAGTTAGTAAACCGACGGCTTTCGGAACGCGCGGGTTGCGGTTCACTTGTTTGGTTGTCTTATGGGCGCGTCCGCCCCCCCCCCCTTCGGGCCGCCGCGCGGCGCCCTGAGGCCCGTTCTCGGGGTTCCCCGCAGTTGCCCTGGGCCGATGTGAACACATTCTGGGCGCTAGCGGGCGCCAGAAATATCTGGGGCGACGGTCCTCTGAACGCGCAGGTCCTGGCTCACGTATTCAGGAAGCCTTCGCCATTCCGCTGCCGCCCGATAGCGCGATCCGGGGCGATTCTCGGGGGTTTCCTGGAGGGCTCTCGGGGCGCATCTGGGGGGGGCGTTCTTCATGGGGGGCACCGGATCGGCTCAAGTCTCGGCCCGGCTCGCGCGCGGTTCCTCGCCGGCTCACGCGCTGGCGCGCTGCGGTGTCTCGCGCCATGGCATTCGCGGCGGCGATGCTCCCAGCGCACCCTCGAATGCTGATGGTGCTGACGGGCCGACGAGCTCGACGCCGCCGCCCCGCTGGCGGCGAGCTGCGCAGGGCCCCGCGCGAAGGCGCTGCCTGTCAAGGCGCCGCCGCCGCACCTTGTGCACCTCGCGCCGCCGGCGTAGACACCCGCAGCGGCTTCGTCGACGCCGAACAGAGACCCGTGACGCGACGCACCCTCCGACAATTCACCGCGAGCGCGCGCAACATCACCACCGCTTTGAGCACGTCCACCATACTACCGTTTTCTGTGGCTATCCTTCTCAAGATGGTTTCAATATCGCCACCAGTCCACCGAAGTGTTCCCAGATGGCATCCAAAGGGATACGTTTATCGAATATACATTTAATTTTCTATATACACACATATTTACACATTTGTTGTTCGTAGCATGCAAATCGCAATTTATGTGTATAACGAAACCGCACCGCCACGAGTCTCAGGGGATACTTGACGGCCTAGCACGGTTTCAGGAGGTCCCAGGACGCCCCAGAAGAACCCAAGAAAACCCACAGAACACCCCAGTAGGTTCCAGGAGGTCCCGAGAGGCACCAGAAGGTCCAAGGGAGTTGGAGGGGGCCCCAGGAGGCTCCAGGAGATCCCAGGACGCCCGGGTATGTTTCATTCACCAGGCCGAGAGGAGCTCCAGGGATCCGCAGCCCTCGCGGCCAGGAGTCTAGAAACTGCGGGACCCCCAACATGTCATTTGAAACATGTGGCACATATTTGAAGTTTCCAGGGGCCAGGGGATCCGCAGCCCGGGCGGCCAGGAACCCCGACCCCCCAGACCCTCAGGATGAATACGTATATGATATATCCATCGATTTATATATCTATATATCTATCTATCTATCTATATATCTATCTATATATCTATATATCTGTATATATGTATTTATATATATAGCGATATCTATTCCTATCTGTATATCTATATATATATATAGATACATATCAAGCGATCTACATATATATATATGTGTATATGTATATGTGTATATATATGGATATAAAACGTGGAACATAACTATACAATTCGAGCTGTGCGTTCCGCGTGTTTAATGAAATTCCCAGGGGCCATGGGACCCGCAGCCCCGTCGACCAAGAATACATAAACCTCGGGACCCCCAGAATTTCACGTGGCGGATTTATCAAATTAGCGAAATTAATTGCGTTTTCACATGTTTCAAGGCTTTCGTTGACCATTCTGAGACTGCCAGGGGCCACGGGATCCGCGGCCCCGGCGGCCAGGAGTCCAGCAGCCTCCAGACACCCATATGTTTTAATATAAACCGTCATCGCAGCTGTAAAAACTTAATGCGGCTGAACCTGTAAAGAAATCCTATACTTCGAATGTCTCCCGTTCAGCCGTTTTACAACAAATCTTAGGGGCTTGGGGATTTGCAGCCCAGGCGGCCAGGAATCCTGACCCCCCCCAGATCCTCAGAGCTTAAACTTCCTTACGCTGAGGAAGCATGTTGACATTCCCAATGCCCTGGGGGTCCATCAGCAGCGATGAGGAGGAGAAACAACAAACATAGGAGGAAGAGGAGGAGGAGGAGGAGGAGGAGGAGGAGGAAAGCGACGACTACGACGAGGACCAGGAGGAGGAGGAGGAGGAGGAGGAGGCGGAGGAGGAGGAGCATGAGAGGAGGAGAAGGAGGAGGAGGAGGAGGAGCATGAGGAGGAGGAGGAGAGGAGGGAGGAGGAGGAGGAGGAGGAGCAGGAGGAGGAGGAGCCTGAGGAGGAGGAGAAGGAGAAGGAGGAGAGGAGGAGGAGGAGGAGCATGAGGAGGAGGAGGAGAAGGAGGAGGAGGAGGAGGAGCAGGAGGAGGAGGAGGAGAAGGGGAGAGGAGCTACGAGGGGTATGCGGTTGGATACCAGTATCTCCTCCTGGTTGCCCGTGCCCTTCCATCCCTTGCCCTCCTTCCCTCCCCCCCTCCCTCCCTCCCTCCTTTTTCCCTTTTCCTCTCTCTGCACGGCGTGCTCCTCCTTCTCCTCCCTTCCCTTCCCTCCCTCCCTACCTTCCTCCCTCTCGGACTCCTTCCTTCTTCCTCCCCTCCCTCTTCCTCCTTTTCGTGTGCCTTGTCCCTCCTTCTCCTCCCCTCCCACTCCCTCCCCCCGCCCCCTTCTCCCTCCCTCTCCCTTCTCTCCCTCCCTCTCCCGGTCCCCCCCTCCCCCGCCCCCTCTCCCCCCGTCCCCTCCCCCCCTCTCCCCCGCCCCCCTCTCCATCCCTCTCTCCCTCCTGCCCCTCCTCTCTCCCCTGCCTTCCTCGTCCCTCCCCCCCTTCCCCTCCCCCCCCCCTCCTCTCCCCCCCCCACCCCCCGCAAACCTCTGCAGGGAACCCCCGCCGAACCCACCCGCTCCCCGGGGGCGGCCGCGTGCGGTCGCGCGCGGTGGAGGGGGCGGGGCGCGGGGGAGGGGGGGGCGCGGCGGCGCCGCCGCCGGGGCGCGGCCGCCTGCGGCGGGCGCCCCTTCCCCCCGAGGCGGTCGGGCGGGGTGCTGAAGTGGGGGCGGCCTCCAGGGGGGGGAGAGAACAGGGGCCCCCATGGGGGCCTTCGGGCGAGGGGGGGGGAGGGGCCTGTTTGAAACCAGCAGGGGGTCCCAGGAGGAGGGCCCTGGGGGGCCCGTTGGGGGCCCCGCTCCCCCCCCCCCCTCTCGCTTAGGTCCCCCCCCCCTTGACGCCACCCCCGAGGCGGGCGCCCCCTCCGCGGCGGCCATGGCGGACGCGGTGGAGAAGAAGCCACGGGCTCGGGGGCAAGGGCTCGGGCCCGCCGAAGGTTGTTGACTGCCGAGGCTTGAAGTTTTCAAGCGTTTTACACGAAACCTTGGCGGATTGATTCTCAGCCTCGGGATGCTCTTGAGTAGCTGCGCCTCCCCGATGGCGTTCCGGGGGTGCTCAGGTCGTCCCGATCGTCCGCCGGAAGCCCGAGTTAGGACCCGAAGGCTAGACGGAGAGCGGAGGGGAGGGCAAGAGAAGGGCTAGAAGAAGAGGAGGAGAGGGGAGAGGAAGAGGAGGAAGAGGAGAGGGGGGGTGGGCGGGCGGGCGGCGGGCGGGCGAGAGGCGGGCAGAGGAGGAGGAGGAGGAGGAGGAGGAGAGGAGGAAGGAGGGAGGAGGAGGAGGAGGAGGAGGGGGAGGAGGAGGGGAGGAGGAGGAGGAGAGGAGGATGAGGACGTGGATAGACATGGTGGTGATGGTGGTAGTGGTGGTGGTGGTGACGAGGAAGAGGAGCAAGAGGAGGAGGAGGAGGAGGAGGAGGAGGAGGAGGAGGAGGAGGAGAAAGAAGAGGATGAGGAGGATGAGGAGGAGGAGGATGGCGTGGAGGAGGTCGGGGGGGCAGCAGACGGGTAGGAGGGGAGGACATCGAGGAGGAAGGGGAGGAAGGGGTGATGAGATTCGTCTCCGCTTGCCCGACATGAGACATTAGAGAGCTAAGGCCAGACCGCGACCTTCATAGCCTTTATTGCCATCTCCAGGGATGAGGAGGAAAAGGAGAGGAGGATGAGGAGGAGGAGGAGGAGACAACGAGGAGGAAGCGCCTTCCGGCGGTCTCGGTGGTCACGTTGTGGAGAGGGGTATGTAATGTTAGTTGGAGTTGCCCCTCTTAGGCCCCTCCTAGGGCCTTGGGGGCCTCGCGAGCCCTCTAGTAGGCCTCGGGGCCCGTCCTGAGGCAATCCTTGGGCCAGTTGGTTCGTCTTGGGCACACTTGCGCTCGTAGGACCAGAAAGCCGAGTATGCCATCAGCGCAAGCAATGGTGGCCAACGTTTTTGAGATTATTGAGATGGACCAAGAGGTGCCAAGTAGATCACAGGACGGTTCTTGAGACAATCTTCCGTGTTGGAAGTATGGAATCCGAACCTTGTTTCCCAGACCATTGGGAAAGGCATGTGAGCCTACGCGGGAGCGCCCAAAAACGCTGAGCGCACGCGGATTGAGTACGTTCCAGTCGTTGTTGGACAATAGTGTTCCTCTAGCTCTTACTTGGAGCTTGCATTTGCAAATATTGTAAGAGGCATCGGTCTGCCGAGAGAAATGAATTGTCATGGATGGCGGTCGAGCGGGGGCATTCAGCAGGGACCTCCAGTGAGAGGCTTCAGGGTATGAGTGGGGTGCGGTGCACATAAGTCTCGCCACTCCGTGATGCGACAATCCGACCAGAGTGTCGTCAATTGTGGCACCTCAACTCTATGATTGGAGTGTCTCTCGTGGGTCATATCCGGGCCGTCTCGGTGCTCTCCTGGGCCTCCGCGGGGGGCGCCGTCGCAGTCGCCGTCGGGTGGCACTGTTTTTGAATGTCTTTGTCGAGATTTCCACCTTGCGCATCAGCGAAATTAGCATTTTGCCTTTGTCGAGACTACCACTGTTTTGTAAGTGTCTTTGTCGAGACTTCTTCAAGAGGGGCCGTGCCCAAACCAGGTACGCACAACGTTCCCCTCCCGGAAATATCTCATCATCCCTGCTGGTTCTTCCTCCCTCTTCCAGCCTCCTTTGTATGCCTCCTTCCTCCGTCGTCGTCATTTTTTCGCGTCTCCTCCCTGAGCCTTCCTCCCCTGGCCATCTCTTAAATGATCGTTTGGGAGGCTTCCTGGGGCCCACCCCATAAGTCTGCTCGTCTCTACTTCGCCTCTGGCTCGACTGGCTCGACTCAAGTTCGGTTCAAGTTCAACCAAGTCGACGCACGTTCGAAGCAGCATCGACGCATGGATGGAGCGTGTCGCTCCAGAAGGTTCCAGAACCTGACCTCTGACCTCTCCGCGTCCTCCTGCGCTCGCCGACGGTGGAGAGGAGCCTCGGCGACAGCTGCCGTTCGTCCCCTCCCTTCGCGCCCTCGCCGTGTCCCCCTCCCCCCGTGCTAGGGGGCCACATGCGAACCCTACCCCTACAGTCGGGGCCCTGAAGGAGGAACCCTTTTCGTTGGGGAGGGGCTCCGTGTTCCTTGAGTGTTTCGCAGCTTGCCGCAGGTGTTCCTCATGCTTTCGACGGGAAATCGAAGTTTACCCCATGGAAAAAAAGGGGCCTCGTTCCTTGTTTAGGGTGGGTCCCTTAGGTCAACGCCCCGACTGTACCCCCCTCAGAAATCGTGGGGGGTAGGGGCAGGGTTCCCACGTGGCCCCCTAGCCTGTGCTCCGCCCGCCGAGGCTGGAGATGAGCCTGGACGACATCGTCAGCGGCAACTTCAGGGCGGAGCGGGCCGGGCCCCAGGCGGGGGCGCCCGCGGCCTCGAGACGAGAGGAGCGTCGGGCGCGGCCAGGATGAAGCCGGGCCTGTCCCTCCACAGGGGGGATCTCTAAGAATAGTCCAAACATAGGCTGGGGAATATTGTTTGATTTTTTGTATGATCTCGAGTATGTTCATCTGTTTGTACTCGAGTATGTTCATCTGTTTGCACTCTTTGTGTAAGAATAGACAAAACAGATTCTTACATTTTTCCGAGTATGTTCATCTGTTCGCCAAACATCCGCCTGCAGGGGGACATGCCCGACCGAAGGCCAGGACGAGGACAGATCCGTTCCAGAGCGTTCCGGAACGCTCTCGGAGCGCTGCGGAACGCTCTGGGGAGGCCGCGGCACCCGGCCCGTCCTCCAGAGCCGCCGGATCACAGAGATTCCCGATGTGTCCTCACCCGGATTGGTCTTCGTCCTGGCTTCGTCCTGGAGTGCCCATGGGGCCCCTCTCGGGGCTTTGGGGGGAAGGGCCCGCTTCTTGGGGAGGGGCTGGGAGGGTAGCAGCGAGGCGGGCCGGAGGGCGGGGGGAGGCGAAGGAGAGAGGAGAGAGAAGAGCGGGAGGGGAGGGGATGGGGAGGGGGAGGGGAGGCGAGGACGGGGGGAGAGGAGGGGAGGGGTGGAGAGAGGGGGGGAGGCAAGCTAGGTACGCTCGCGCCTCATCCGACATCCCGTTTCTCCCTCCCGTCCCTTCCCATTGCGCTGTTTTTTTCTCTAGCCGCGGACGCGTGTCATAGCCGACCTGTACCGCGCGCCAGAAGACCTCATTGCGTTAGGCGCAGCCCGAGGTGTGAGGAGAGGAGCGAAGAGAGAGAGGGCGAGGAGAGGACCGAGCGAGCACACGGCTCCCTTCGTCCTCCGTTCCGCAGGCGATCGCAAACATGGATCAAGGGGGCGTTTCGGAGGAGGAGGAGGAGGTGAGGAGAAGGAGGAGGAGGAGGAGGAGGAGGAGGAGGAGGAGGAGGAGAGGAAACATGGATCAAGGGGGCGCGGATTAGCGCTGGGTTCCGTTTCCATGGAACATCGCGGATTTCCGCCGCCGAGCGAGGCGGCACCGGCCGCATTTTGGGGAGGGCATTTCCCCCGATCCATGGATTTGGCGACCGCGCGTCAGATCCATGGATCGCTAATCCATGCTTGCGCGCCCCCGAGCTCGGGGAGGCGTAGGACTCGAGGACGCCCGATCTCGGGTTCCGCCGGCGCTTGTTGCCGACCGCGCCCTGGGTTTTGATGGTCCAGGTGTCGTGGGATGTCTGCAGCGGGAGCTCGCGGCGAATGTCGGACGGGGCCTCCTCGTTTTCACGATGGCCCCGCCTGGCCGGCCCGAGTCCCCCGAACCCGAGTCTTGCGCCCGCCCGATCCGTCGGGTCCCTCGTGGGGCACGTCGGGGCTGGACCTGCAATCGCCGTGTTGCTGGACTTCGGCTGTGCTCTGTCTTGTTCATTTCGTCTTGGGAGGGAGGTGCAGGAGAACAGGCAGAGCAACACAAAAGCAGTGGCGAAGCGTTCCGGCGTGCCTGTAGGCCTACCAAACAATGTTCTGAGAACCTTGTGGTGGTTCCCGCGAAATGTTAATAGAACATGTCTGGCTGGGACTGCTTTGATTTAACACATCGGGTGTATGTTCTAAGAACATCCGTTGGCATTGTCATAGGAACATCTTTGGGTTCTAAGAAGATTTCGTGGCAGGCCTATAGGAATGCCAGGACGGTCGGCCCCTGCTCAATTACCCTGGCGACGTACCCAACCCCTGCGCAAAAGCGGGGCGCAAATAGTTTAGGATACTTTATAAGGGGGCGATGACGGAGCGAGGGTTACAAATGTCTGCAGACGGAATTCGGGAGACTCGCAGGACACTGGCTACAGGAAAAGGGCTTGATAAAGCTGATGATTTACAATTCCTGAGCACTCCTAGCCACTTCGAAAACGGGGATCACAGCAGGCCTCGAAAGTGGCGACAGGTTCACAGATCGCAGCCCCGCAGGGATGGCGAGGTCTCATTTGAATCTGCCCGTGGCCCTCACTGTGCTGGGCCCCCCAGCAGGCCTCGAAAATGGCGGCAGTTTCGCAGATCGCAGCCCCCCAGGGATGGCGAGGTCTAATTTGAATCCGCGCGTGGCCCTCACTGTGCTGGGCCCCCCAGCAGGCCTCGAAAATGGCGACAGTTTCGCAGATCGCAGCCCCCCAGGGATGGCGAGGTCTAATTTGAATCCGCGCGTGGCCCTCACTGTGCTGGCCCCCCAGCAGGCCTCGAAAATGGCGACAGTTTCGCAGATCGCAGCCCCCCAGGGATGGCGAGGTCTAATTTGAATCAGCGCGTGGCCCTCACTGTGCTGGGGCCCCCAGCAGGCCTCGAAAATGGCGACAGTTTCGCAGATCGCAGCCCCCCAGGGATGGCGAGGTCTAATTTGAATCAGCGCGTGGCCCTCACTGTGCTGGGCCCCCCAGCAGGCCTCGAAAATGGCGACAGTTTCGCAGATCGCAGCCCCCCAGGGACGGCGAGGTCTAATTTGAATCTGCCCGTGGCCCTCACTGTGCTGGGCCCCCCAGCAGGCCTCGAAAATGGCGACAGTTTCGCAGATCGCAGCCCCCCAGGGATGGCGAGGTCTAATTTGAATCTGCCCGTGGCCCTCACTGTGCTGCAGGGGATGGCGAGGTCTAATTTGAATCCGCGCGTGGCCCTCACTGTGCTGGGCCCCCCAGCAGGCCTCGAAAATGACGACAGTTTCACAGATCGCAGCCCCCCAGGGATGGCGAGGTCTAATTTGAATCTGCCCGTGGCCCTCACTGTGCTGGGCCCCCCAGCAGGCCTCGAAAATGGCGACAGTTTCGCAGATCGCAGCCCCCCAGGGATGGCGAGGTCTAATTTGAATCCGCGGCGATTACCCTCACTGTGCTGGGCCCCCCAGCAGGCCTCGAAAATGGCGACAGTTTCGCAGATCGCAGCCCCCCAGGGATGGCGAGGTCTAATTTGAATCTGCCGCGGTTACCCTCTATGCTGGACCCCCCAGCAGGCCTCGAAAGTGGCGACAGTTTCACAGATCGCAGCCCCCCAGGGATGGCGAGGTCTAATTTGAATCCGCCGCGATTACCCTCTATGCAGGACCCCCCAGCAGGCCTCGAAAGTGGCGACAGTTTCACAGATCGCAGCCCCCCAGGGATGGCGAGGTCTAATTTGAATCTGCCGCGGTTACCCTCTATGCAGGACCCCCCAGCAGGCCTCGAAAGTGGCGACAGTTTCACAGATCGCAGCCCCCCAGGGATGGCGAGGTCTAATTTGAACAGGCTCTCGACCCCCCAGCAGGCCTCGAAAGTGGCGACAGTTTCACAGATCGCAGCCCCCCAGGGATGGCGAGGTCTAATTTGAATCTGCCGCGGTTCTCTATGCAGGACCCCCAGCAGGCCTCGAAAGTGGCGACAGAGATCGCAGCCCCCCAGGGATGGCGAGGTCATTTGAATCTGCCGCGGTTACCCTCTATGCAGGACCCCCCAGCAGGCCTCGAAAGTGGCGACAGTTTCGCAGATCGCAGCCCCCCGCAGGCAAGACAGGAAGAGGCAGGAAAGAGGCGGGAGGCGGGAGAAGGGACGCGACCACACTGCTCTATTCAAAACGAATACCCAACCAAGGAGGGTTGGGAAAAATCGAAAAGAATCGGCACGAACGAGATGGGTACGGAAAAAACGGGTACAATGCCCATCAGCAGTTCCTGTTCATTTTGAACAGGACTCGCTGTCCACGCCGCCGCGGCCTATGTCCATTCGAGGCAGAAGGCCGCCTGCCCAACAGCGGCCGCTGTTGGTTTGGGGCAACATTTGTGGTTGGGCATCGCACCCATTCTTTCCCTACCCATTTCGGGCGTCCAACAACAAAACGACAGCACAACGAACCGCGACGTGCTGAGCTTGAACGTCAGCAAAACGAAACGGGCCATTGTGGTTGTTGGTTTGGGATAATATTTGTGGTTGCGTATTTTTTTGATTATTTCCCTACCCATTTCGGGCGTCCAGCAACAAAACGACAGCACAACGAAACGCGACGTGCTGAGCTTGAACGTCAGCAGAACGAAACGGGCCCGGCACTGGAGCACTCGGGCCGGACGACAGGGGGGGATTGGGGAAGGGGGGGGTGCAAAATTTGCTGCATGCAGCTGGTTTCGGCCTCGCCGAGGGGCCCCTTCCTCGATGCATAGCCGCCTCCGGCGCCGGGAGGCGCCGGGAAAATCAGCTACGTAGCTGATTCTCAGACCCCCCCCCTGTGATATCCCCCCTTTCGCCCGGCCCGATACCCCGAGGCCCAGAGCCAAGAACGTCCAATCGTTGCAACCCTCGCAAAGACATTCATTCCCGACGCTCGAACGTCGCAATTCTCATTTGGCGTCTCCCTTTTTCTTCCCCCCCCTCGCCTTGCCTGGCCCTCCTTCCCTTCGCCTGCTTCTCCCTCCTCAAATCCGCGGCTGTCCCTTTGATATCCCTCCCTTTCGCCCGACCCGAAGCACGCGTTGAGCTGTCCGTCGGGGCTTGGCCCTCTGCCGCCGAGGGCCCACTCCCCCACGGCGCGGTGGAGGCCGACGTCGGGGGCACCGACGGGGGGGGGGCAGAGGCATGAGGCCTCCCTCCCTCGCTCCTCCTCCCTCCCTCCTCCCTCCTCCTCCCTCCTCCCTCCTTCCTCCCTCCTCCTCTTCCTCCCTCCTCACTCCTCCCTCCTCACTCCTCCCTCCTCCTCCCTCCCCCTCCTCACTCCCTCCTCCCTCATCCTCCATCCTCCTACTTCCTCCCTCCTCACTCCTCACTCCTCCTCCCTCTCCTCCCTCCTCCTCCTCTCTCCTCTCCTCCTCTCCTCCTCCTCCTCCTCCTCCGTCTCCTCCTCCTCCTCCTCTCCTCCTCCTCCTCTCTCCCTCCTTCCCCCCCCTCACTCATCACTCCTCCTCCTCCTCCTTCCTCCCTCCCTCCTCACTCCTCACTCCTCACTCCCTCCCTTCTC